CCCCAAAACCCCAAAACCCCGAGGTACCAATTATTAAAAAAATCAAGCAATATTTTAATCATACTTTCTAATTATCAAATTGTCAAAATTATTTAAAATCAATTAATTTGCTTAACTTAAAATCGATTTATATCTCTAATATAAATAATATATCGTTTTATGATTCGAGCAAGAAACCTCTATAACAGTTTAATGAAAAACTTTCTCATGGCATCTATGTGTATCACTCTAGTCTCCTCCTTTGTGTGCCCTGATCGCTAATACTATGTTGACTCAATAAAAGAATGTGCAGGTAAATTAACTTCTTATAATAAATAGATTGCAATATAAGTTGCTAGAGGTGTGAATAACCTACTCAATGCATTAGTTGCATAAGTTCTGGCATGAAACTTGACTCTTTAGGAGGGTGCAGTTACTGTGAAATAAATGAGTATATGGAAAACAACAATTGCAGAAGTAAAAATAAATTTGATTTAGAGAATTCTTAATTTAGATTGCGAATATAAATTATTACCATTTTAGGGCAATGCATTTAATAATTTTGAAAGAAGTTGCATAATTTGTCCATCTAATCAATATTTGAATCTAGAAACATTGATTTGCTAAGAAATTTGTGATAGTAATGAACAGAGGATGATTCTTGAAGAGGATATGAATCAGAACAATAAATTCGAATTCAGATACTGCCGAAGTACAAATTTTATTATTAAATTAATCTTACTAGGCAATAACATTTATGTGGACTCGTCTTCGTAAAATATATATGAGTTCGGCTCATTTTCATTTCCTTATAAAAATATTGAAAGTGCCCTGAAGGAAATAATATATAAAAAAGTTGATAAAAATAAAATTATTAATGTTTGGCTAATGGAGAATCAAACTTATTAAATTTCTGCTAGCATCAATTTAAAGTTTATTTTTCAGGATTTAATTGAGTTGAAAATCGGGTAATTTTCCAAAGTTACTAATTTTATAGATCTTATAACAATAATAATTTAAGCTTGAGTCTTTGAGCTAAAATAATTTTTCAATCAGGTCATACTAACCCAGGAAATCCTACTACAAAGTTTAATCTAGATAGGGTGAAATATAATATTACTGAGGAAAATTAGTTATTATAAATATTGTAATAAGCTGCCTCAAATGAATTAGATTCAAAATTTATACTCTTAAATTCAACTTTGAAGATAAAAGATATAATAATCGAAAGTAAAATTTTTATTTCTCCATTGACATTACTAGGCGACTCCAATTCTGACTACAATCCAAAAGATAATCTTTTCTTGCTTATTAATTAAAATAAAACATTTGCATTATCTCTAGATGTAAGCATAATTTGAATCCTAATACATCTTAGAATGTTTATATCAGTTATGCAGGTTAAGTTATTGTCTCAAAATTTTAATCGACATTGATTCTTAATAAAACAAATATAATAACAAATCAAATTAGCAATGGAATTTTTATTTAAAATGAAAACTGCAATAATATGAAAAATGACCAAACTATTAACCAATTGGTCATTTAGGATTCAGCATTCTCTGGTAAAAGATATTAGTAAATCTTTGGGTCAATGATTTAGTTTAATACTCAATAATATGATTCTGTTGTCATTAAAAACTTGACATTTTAAACTTATATGATGGAATATGACTCAAATCATGACTTACTTAATATCTAGTCAGATTAGATTTGCCCTGAAAATAAAAGAATTAATAATCAGACCATAAAACTTTCCAATATTAATCTCTTGGGATTTGGTTATAATCTTACAACTGATCAATAATAGCAGATATCTTCTGCTTCCCTAATGATAAATTTGACTGAATTTGTGTCAGAAACTATTCTGATAGAAAATATTTTTGCCGAAAATCTTATTTCAACTAAAACTACTTTGACAATATTTGTGGATAAATAGTATTTAACTTTATAAAACATATTTTTCCAAAACATTAGCATGCTCACCTAGGAGATATATTGCCTTAATAGCCAGGGAAATGGCAATATTTCCTTAAGAAATTTCACTCACTAAAATTCTTATTTCAAAGGAAAAGGAGTAATATAGTTAAGGAAATTTATTAACATTAATGTAGACAACATCTAAATCAGATAAATTAGTTGTAATTTAATTTCGTAACTTAAACATATCTATAGTCGATAAAATGCTAAATAACTAGTTCATTCTAAAATCAGCTGAACTAGATATGTAATCAGTTGTGACCTATAGCAGGTTAAATTTTACAAATAATCAATTAGAATAAAATTAAGCTATCTAGAATAATGATCAGGTTAAATTACTATAGATAATCAACTCAAATTTCCAAAATCAAAGTAATTTCTAAAGTATAATAATTATATATAGCAATAAGTTCAGATAACAGTTACATAATAAACTAACATTCATTAAGTTTCAAAGTACTTCAATGCGTATTCAAAAACATAACATACTCAGATAAACTACTTTCAGAAGGCTTTATAATAAGATATTAAGAGAAGCTTTTGATATAAGGACTAACTTAAAATTCACTATTTGATATAGTGACAGTTACAGCTTGCAACTTAAATTTTCTGTCATTTGATGGCTTTAAGAATCTATCAATAACTGACAATCAAAAATATTATTTTGATCTTTAAAGAATAGTGTTCGTATCAAATTAATTTTTAAGTTACGGCACACTTATTAGAATCAATAATTTTATAGACGAGAATGAAGTTTAAGTGAGAATTCTAAATTCAACGTTTCAATTTATAATATTTCCAATAAAAGGAGCACTACTTGAAGCATTATCTAATACAAAGTATCCTATCTAAATAAAACACTCATTGTATACTATTACAGTTTATGCAACTTTTATTTTAAAAGCTGCAGACATTAATAGGAGAGACTTGCCATTAATTTTAGAAATTTACAATTCTTAATTCATTACTAATTAGCCTATTAGATACAGCTTATTTACAGTTTAAACAAATAGTTAGCTTAAAATGTTTAACACATTGGTAAATAATACAATATCTACATCATTTGGAGGAGTATTTCGTGCTGACTATAAGGAATCGTATATTTATGCCGAAAATTCTATATTTCTATATAACTTCGCCTATGATGGTGGTGTTATTTACGCTCATCAATAATCTATGGTAGAATTTAATAATTGCTAAGTAATAAATAATACTGCTGTATAAGGCGGGCTTGCTACACTTGAGAATAATGGATATCTTAAAACGAATAACTGCTAATTTGAAGGTAATCATGCTCTCAAATCCTCATTTGTAACGATTTCCGATTCCATTCAGTTTCCCTCAGAGTTTAATAACTGCACATTTTTTAATAACTCTGTTATTACATTCTTAGAAATGGTATACACAAGAATTCCAGCAATATCTAGAGCATATTTTCTTGCTACATCAGCTAATATTGTAAAAAGAGTCAAAAACGGAGAGAAATATACTTTCAAAGTTATGAAATCTAAGCTTGATTTAAATAATTGCTATTTCAAGCATGAGACTAGATTCGCAGATATTTATCATGGTACCTTAAATTTGTATAATTCTAAATTTGATGACATACCATTCTATTCTGATGATAATTCTTACATTAACATGATATTCGGCTCAGTAACTCTTTTTAATACAACAATAAATAGATCTTATTACGATTATGAAAAAGATTTTCACAACTAAAACTTATTTTCTGCTTCCTTGAACTCAAAATTATCAATAGGTAACAGTGTTTTTAAAAATATTAATAGCTAATTTTTACACTCTACGAACTCTTTCATAGAAATTATTAATACAGAAACAAAAGATATAAAACTTATTGGAAATAATGATTATTTTATGAGAATAGATTAAAGCTAAATGCTATTTGCTAATTGCACTTTCATAAATATAGTTGCATCTAGCGAAGGTATTATTAAAATTTCCAGATCATAGAAGATTGGCATTATTAATACTAATTTTCTAAATTTTACAAAAAGATTGATAGTTTCTGATCTTTCGTAACTTGATTTTGTTGAAAATTCCACATTTTAAAGTGATCTTACAGACACTAATTCAAATTAAGCTTTTGATCTCCAAAGAAGTGGAATAAATATCTCTAATAGTAAATTTTAAGGATTAAGAGGATCATTCGGAGGAGCAATCAGCACTTTTGATAGCGATATTAAAGTATAAAAATCTATTTTTTATGATAATGAAGCAACTATTGGAGGGGCTATATCTCTTTAATGCTCAAAATGTATTACATTAAACATTTAACAAAATTATAGTAAAAAGCTGTTACTTTGAGATTAAAGATAATATATTTTAATAAAATTATGCTACTTTAAAGGGAGGAGCTATATATTTTAACAAAAATCAGCCAATAAATCTAGATTAGAATTAATTTTTTAATGACAACTTTGCTTAATATGGATAAAATTTCGCAAGTTTTCCATTTGGAATTAAACTAATTCATCAAGACTAATATCTTTTGGCTAGTGGATAATATTATAATGGCTCAATAATTGTTGAGGTATTATTGTTATATTAATATTTTTCATAAAGATAACTGATGTATCTGGTTAAAGAATAATTATTGACAATCAAACGTAAGATTATTTTAGATTTTTATATTCGAATTAGCATTTTTTAACTTGAAGAAATTGATTAAAAATTGAAGATCATTGGACTCAAGCAAGTTAGAGCCTAAAATGGAATAGCTAAATTTTCTAATCTATAAATTTAAGCTCCTCCATCCTATAGAAATGCATAATTAAGAATATATTCTTCTTCAATAAATACTGAATAACTTATTTCAAATTATCCTAATGTACCTTGAAATGAAATAAACAATCTTATCTTAAGTTTCGATTTCAGGTAATGTTTAGAAGGAGAGATTGAGAACCTTGATTAGTAAGGATTTTGATTGTTTAAATTTTAGATGTTTATAATGCAACTACGGATTGTTTTCATTTAGTAAAAATTCAAAGGAATGCTATGATTGTATGAAAAACTCTGAATGTTTAGGAGGATATAAAGTGTCTTTAGACCAAGGCTTTTGGAGATCATCATTTAATTCAACAAGAATAATTAAATGCTTGAATAAAGGGGCTTGTTTAGGAGGAATGATTCCTTTGAATAATTTTGATGGTTAAAACATATATAAAACTGATTCTGACGGTTTATGTGCATAAGGCTATGAAGGTAACCTATGTGATACTTGCGGGGAACTGGATGGTCAAGTTTACCAAAGAACCTCAAAACATTATTGCGGCTAATGTCCTGAATAATGGATATCGTTTTTAAAAGTAATCGGATTATTTTCTGCATTCCTTATAGCAATGGGAATCTTGATATATTTTAATCTCAAACAAACCAAGCAAAGTGAAGTCAATGTATTATTGAGAATTGTGACTAACTATTTCCAAATAATGACTACAACTGGTGCTTACAATTTGGAATGGCCAGCATATTTAATTGAAATGTTTGGTGTTTATAATACAATGGGTGATGCTTTGGATAATTTTGTCTCGATAGAATGCTTTTTTAATCATTCTTAATCCTTTTAAGATGACTACTCTGTTTATTACGCGAAAGCACTGATAGTTTCATTTATTCCTATTTTAATAATGCTTTTCTACCTAGCTATTTTATACATTCTGTCATTACTTAAAAAAAGGAATATGAAACTTGTTAAAGATTAAGGTTTTATCATTGTAGTTGTAATAATATACACATTACATCCTACAATTAATAAATTCATGCTTGGTTTATATAACTGTATTGAATTAGAATAAGGAGAATTTTGGCTTGAATAAGATTTGAAGGTGAGATGTTGGGATTATAACCATATTATTTGGAGTACTTCAATAGGTATACCATCCCTCCTTATTTGGACTATTTTTCCCCCAGTTTTACTCTTGATATATATTCATAGGAATAGGTTAAATCTTTCAAATTCTGATTATTAGTATAAATTCAAAATGATTCAATAAGGACTAAAGAAAAGATACTACTACTGGGAGTTCGTAAATATCTTAAGGAAAACAATTTTAGTTCTTGTGAATGTTTTTCTTTAGACACATAGAAGTATATTTAAATCATTACTTAATATTTTGGTCCTTTCATTTTTTTTGCAAATGCAACTAAGATTTAAGCCTTATAAAAACCCCTTGATAAATGCCCTAGAATACAGGGAATATTTATGCTCACTAGTAATATTTTTTGGTTCTTTATTTTTTGTTAATCAAGAAATTTCCTCTAAAATGCAGCTTTTAGTATTCGTTGTGATAATCGCTTACAACTTCAATTTTATTATTTCATGGATTTATACTCTAATAGAAATTACTAAAATTAAAAAGCTAGATTTTATTAAAGTGCAGCTAAAGAGAATTTCTCTGCTTCCAGATAGTGTGACTGAAACGAATGCTTCTTTCAAAGTTAACAAAAAACCCAGTAAGAGAATTGATAAAGATGAAAGTGTTAATTAGATATTGCTTACAAATTTAGGATTAGAGTCTACATTTAAATTAAAGCCAATAAAGCTATTAAAAAAGGCAAAATCAACACAAATAAAAGATACAAAATTAATGAGAACACCAATTAGAAATTTAAAACTTTTAAAGTAGAGTTTAGATAAAATCTCAGATACTTAAATATTTCATACAAACAATAAACCTTTTGAAAGATTAGCAGGATTATATTAAGGTTAATAAAGATTTAACATTGTAAAAAGATTATCAAGGGCACTAAAATAGAAACAAGATGAAAATAAAAAAATTAATAAATTTTCTGACAAAAAATTTAGTACAATGAAGCAAAGTTAGCTTGAAA